AGGAGCTACAGCTTGACGAAGTTACCGCATTTTGTAGCTGAAGGCCTTCGACCGAATGCTCAGAGCTAGTGAAGTCTGGTTAGAACTTGAGCAGTTCGGACTTACACCTTCGGGTGATTGTTCATGTTTGTACTCCTTCGGGATTTTTCCCCCTGAATGCCAACGTGAAGTTTTGTTACTTCGAGTAAGCCTTGGTTAACAATTCAGGTTGTACGCTGCTTGAGGTGCCTTCAGGGGTAGCCTCCACAGTATTTCTGGGAATGACTAGTGCATGAGAATTCAAACTCGTCAATAGACTGTTATGGTGTGACACTGGATCTTTTCTCAGTTGAGTTTCTCAGTTCGGTTCCTGTATTCTCTGCGCGTTTTGTGAGTTGAGTGTGTTGTTCACCGCGTGAGAGTGACTTTGGTTTGACGAAGGTACCGCATCCGAAGTAGGATGTCCAACCGGGTGCTCTGCTCTAGCAGTCAGAGTTAACAATCCGGAGTTGGGGAACAGTACTTGCAGATTCTCTAAATGTACTCGTGAGAAACTTTCACCCTGAATCTTAAGTAGAGGTCCTAATCGGCCTCTGAGTTGTGCTTTTCCAGTTTCAGGTGTGTGTTGGGGTGAGCTACGCTGCACTTTGCATCCTCCCAGTGACCTCCGAGTTGAGCACTTGCAATATTTCTAGGAGTGACAGTCGCCTGAGAATTCAAACTCTTCAATAGTCTGTTAAAACGTGACATTTAGTACTCTGTGTGTTGACTCTGTCCCTGTGAGTTTGACCTTTTTGCTGCTATACTGCAGTTTTAGCCTTTGGTGGGTTATTACAAAGTGTCATCCTTATCTACTTTCTTCAAAATTGTAATGTATAAGTGTAATATGACTATGTTTACACTTTTCTTCTGTATATAACCCCAATCGCTGAAGATGAAAGGTTTTGGCACAAAGATTTAAGACCATATTGATACGTTTGATGATATTGTGATTTATTTTCAAGTTCTTTGAGAAAAAAAAGTGATTCAAGAGTAACACTATATTTCTTCAATTCACTATTTGCTTCATATGTACATGTCATATGTGTTGTTTCATTATGATTGACTGAGAATAACTTCTCACAAAGTTGTAAGTATTTTGTTGTGAGATGTTTTATAATAAAGGATGGTGATAATATATATGTATATATATATATATATTATGATCTTATTTTGATACCGCATTGACTGTGATTCAAATTTGATAAAATTCAAAAAATGACAACGATAGCAATTTTAGATCCAAAGGTAGATCTAAATCTATAGATTAATACTTTATAAGGAAGAAGATGGTATGTTCAAAATGAACCAAGACTAGTCACGTCAACAACCTTTGTAGTGTGAAGATCAAAGATGATAATACTCTTTTAGCCAATCTGAGTCAAGAGTTTGACAGTCAGTAGTATAATTTGCTTGAAGATAGTATATGATCCTAAAGGTATGTACCCTAAATCTCACCATATAATATTTTTGACGTATGATTCGTGGAGACTACGCTTCTAGTGAGAATAAATACATACTTGATTCATATTATCAAATGGTCGGAAATTGCATACCATTAGCCAAATTACCTATTGCACGTGGGTACATAATATTGAAAGGAATCCAGGTCAAGGCGCAAAGTTGACTCGAGCTTAAATACAACTTTTTTTTATCATATTTGCTACATTAGAAAGAAAACTTAGTATTTATTTTAACTCAAACGATTTAGTTTTTATACAAAATAATGAAAATTCTATGATAGTAGCTACTAGTTCTGTTACAATTATAAAATTTGATGTATTATATATTTATATGTTATATAAGAAGAAATTTGATTTTTTTAGATTGTTAAATTCAAAATATGTTGAATGAATATTTAGAAAACGAATGCTTGATATGTAATTATATGATAAGTTTATGTTAAAAACTTATGAGTAGCAAAATCTATGTTTGCTATATTTCATTAAATTATATCATGAAATCAATTTTGCTAAATCTTGGTTTGAGAGTTTTCATATATGGCATTTTAGGCTAGGGTCATAAATAATATGTAAATGTTATTTTTTCATGATAAAAGTTTGTTATGAGGCAAAATTAAAGTTGATATAGAATTCTTTGAACATTGTATTTTACACAAGCATCATGATCAAGCCTTTGCTGTTGATATTCATAACTTTAAGTAATTACTTGACTGCGTAAAAAAATACTCTCAAGAAAACTCACTCCCTGAAAAAATATATTTTTTATACTTATTGATTAAGATTTTTGTGAGATTATTTTTTCACACACAAATTTGAAGTTTTTATAGATCTTAAAAAGTGAAAAATTTAAATTGAAAATCAAAGAAGACAAAAATTCTTATGAGCAGTTTCAAAGTTATCAAAGTTAAGTTCAAATAATTTACTCAACTTTAGTTGAGTAAATTATTTGTCACGAGTTTTTAGAATGCAATGAAAATTGGTTGCTAAATGTTTCAATTTAATAATGTTGCAGTAAGTGCTAGTATGTTGAATCAATTGATTTTATCATATACAATTTGGGTTGAAGTTATTAATAGCGCAATATATGTAGTTAATCTTACTATTTCTATGCAATCAATTTTTGGACATTGCTTATATTTCATCACGAACATATGAATTTCAATAAATTTTGTGTGATTTATACTCCCATAACTGAAAACAATAGTATACAGCTAGACATTACATAAAAGAGTGTAGTTTTTCTGACATTGCACTTGAATCAATCAGATTTGCTATATAAATTTTAATTATAAATTATGATATGATTTGAAACTATCAATACTACAATAAATTTGACATATTGATATCACCAATTTTTTGATTTAGTTACAGGCATATGATTGATTGTAGTAGTTTTAAATTTTTTTGTGCAATTTATATTAATGTACAGAAAATTAGAAACACACTAGATACTACATCTCAAAGATGTCAATTTTGTTTAATATGGAAATGGTAGGAAGATTATAGATTATGAAAGCTAGTAGCATGCAAACTTTTTATCAATATAGATATGATTATTAATGAAAGAGAGAATTTTTTTCCAAGCTAACCGTCTTGACTAAAGATAATTGTCAACTCACAAATGCTATGGAATGTGTATATTGATCACTATTTAATTAATGATGTCACGCAAGGAGAAGCCCCGATACAAATGAAGCAAATTATTGAAAACAGTAATTAACAAAACATGTTATTGTTTATGAATATCAAATATGTGTATCAAACAAAAGATAGCAAATGAACCAGAAACTTCTATAAGAATATCATTGAATAAAATTAATATAAATTTTATAGAGTATGCTTTATGGTTTGATATGTATATTTTGATAACTACATTGCATTGACTTTAAGATTAGTAGAATTTTCTTATAGAGAAGCTCAAGTCCCCATGAATAAGTTTGAATGAAATGTTGCTATTGTGCGTGAGATGCAATTGCTTATGGAAATTAATATGAAAAATTAGTAAAATTTCCAAAAAATCAAACTTTAATTGATTGCAAGTGGATGTATAAACTGAATGAAAATCTAAAAATTGACAAGAGTAAAATCTTCAAAATCTTGGTACCTAGAGATTTTACACAAGAAAAAATTATGAAGTACAACAAAGTTTTTTCACCTCCAGAAAAATATGCTACAATTTAGACTAATATGTGCATTTGTTGCAATCTTTAATCTGGTTATGGATCAAATCGATGCAAACTACGTATAGTTTATATTACTTTACATTAAGCAACCTGTTAGTTTTGAAAAAAAAATCAAAACTAACAGGTTTTAATTTGTAGATTGCTAAAAGCACTATATAGATTATATAAAATTAGTAGATAGAAAAATACAATATATGATACATTTATGAAATCATACATGGAGTATATATGATCCTTGTTTATTCATGAAAAAAATGATATTGAGATATTCAATATCACTATTTTAGTATTCTAAGTGGATAATATAATCATTTTAATAAAAAATGAATCTCAGTTGAATAAATGCAAAAATTAACTGAAAATTTTAATCAAAATGAAAGATTTGGATACATCCAAGAATATACATAAAACCATATTTTCATTATATTGAGGAAAAAAATGTATGTTTAATCCAGATAAATAAGATAAATATGTCAACTTTCAAATGACTTACTTTAGAGTTAGAAGCATGGAACCTCTTGGCAACACATTTGAATATGATTCACAAGACCACAAAGCATGTATAGAAGCTAGTAAAACATTTTCTTAAAAAAGTGTTCATTTAAAACACTTCTTGTACCAAGATTTGTAGCTATTTAGAAGCTCTTCATGAAGATATAAGATAGTTACATGAGCTTCATGATGTAGCATACAATCATCAAAAATATTTCATACATACTAGCTCTTTCTACACATAGTAGTTTTATCGTGTAAAACTGTGTGTTGAAAGATATTTATAAACGTGCAAAGTTGTTCTGCAGAAATTCCGTGGCGAACTTGGGATGGCAGAAGAAGCGTATTCCGATTAGCTTGGGACTCTGTGAAATGCTGTGCCATCTGTCCTTCGAGAACCGAGTGGTCATGGGCTTCAGAGTCTACTTCCGACACCGAAACGTGATTTTACCTACCATGAGGCGGAACACACTTGTTGCGCCTCCTCGGACACTTGTTCCAGGGATTGATTTGTAGATTGCTCATCTCGTACGTTCGTTCAAGTCCAGACGCACAAACCCAACAGTTTGGACAACCCCATCCATCGTTTACTGCTTGCTTACCGTACACATGGACCGATACGTAACAGCGATGTCTGCAAGTTGGCCAGGCCACGTGGTCACGATGGCAAGGCTGTCTTCGATTGTATGCTTGCCATCCCTATCCTCGAGCTTGTGATCACACCGATCGGGCCGATTGTGATTGTCACGAATTCGTAAACTCTAGATGTCAGATTGCAATGCTGGAGCTCTCGAATCATCGTCATCAATTGATCTTTGTTTCGACTCTGAATCCTTATTTACACTTACTTATCAAGACATAATGGAAAAACTTATGTTCCAAAGCTCATACAGCTCACCACCTACCCTCGAGTATATAAGTGATGTCCACGACGAGAGAGAGGCATTAGCCCTCGCGCTTGATCATCGTCTTCGGGAAGAAGTGTTCTTGAGAAGCTCATCTCTGAATACATGCGAGTTGTTCCTTCCGTTGGAGACCCTAGAACCAGAAAGACCGCGCCTTCGCACAAGGTCGTGTTTTTAGCTCGATCGATAGACTGACACACAGACATCGTTGGTATGAGTTCAGAAGGCAGCTGCTTAAAGAGCCCAGCGTGGAGAGAAATCTATCGATTACAATATACAACGTTCAAGCGGTTGGAAGGGATCTGTTTATAAACTTGTCATGAAGACTGAGGAATCGGTGTGTGAATCGGTTTAAGAGATCGACTCACCCTACCACAGTTTCAGGTGATGGAAAGGATACTATTCGAGTGTTTCTCGTAGGGAGAGGATTCTCGATATCTATTATTACTTGATGATTGTGTGACATTGAGATGCTAGATAACCTCCTCTCACGCCAAGGATTTAACGCTATTTTATACATCTGCAGATTCTGTGATAATTGATGACTTTAGCACTTCTCATGGTCCTGCACACCATTCTGTGTGTTTTTGAACATTTTACTGATTCGGCTTCTCCTGCATGAATGCAGCACATTCATTTATCCACGAGTAACGTAGACAGACCGTCTATAGTTACATGCGCTCATCGAAGTAAATCAGGAGGAACAGGCACATATATCAGATAAAAAACCAAGAGGAGGAATTATCGGGAGCATATCCAGCCACCAGGTAATATTGACTAAGATCTTTTGAACTGTTTTGTATGTAATATGTTCTATACGGAAATCATCACAACACATTCACCTCGTAATCTGCAAACACAAATGAAAGCCTTCATCCATCGGTCTAGTTCAAGTTTGGTAGTAACGTACAATTTGTGTTAATTCTATCCATAGGTTGGACATACATTCTACATTCTAGAACCTCCTCTCTTTTTCATCGCCATGATCAGAAACAAAACAAGCTGTCCGTATGTGTTCCTGTAAGATATCACATAGACTCACTTTCACGTCCATATAAAGATTAATCCACTCAGTATTAGAATTTTATTAGATAATTTGTTACTAGGTTTTGTGCCCTATTTAGTGGTTCTTGTTGGATTCCTTAAATCATTTGAGGGTTGACATTTCAGGTTCGCTATAGTTCTGCTTCTAAAGTCATCTGTACTGTGTGTTATTATATTTATCGCCTTGATACCAAAAAGTAATTCTTCAGAAACTCCTCACTTCTTTGAAGAACATACTTTTCAGCTTTATTAAGTCATTTACAAATTGCAAAGTTTAGGCAGAGTAGAACATCTAAAAAGTAATTTGTAGCAGGTTTTGTAAGAAATGATTTACACTATTTCAAAAGACTTACAATTCTGGAGTAGTAGTTGGAATAGAGGTGAAAGGTCTGAATCCGGTCAAAGGTTAATGTAGGTGAAGTACTTTATAGTGTCCCTAAGCTTATCAAATAGCATATGTCAATGCCTTTTAAATCCGTGGGAATTAAGATGAGCATGACTCAATTATTCCTAACATGTAAATGTAAATATTTTTATTTTTTTTAACTGAAAAGGGGATAATAGAAGCTGCTAAGGGAGGTTCGACTAAGCTCTCCAATGGTCAGAAGAGTAGAACCGATTTCAGCATTGAGGGCATTGATGAGTACTCACCTCATAGAGAAAAATGAATATTCAGGATTAAAAACGGTCATTTCATCAGTTTGTGAGTTTGACATGGATCGTCGAGAATACATGACTAGGATTATGACACTCTTTAGCCTATAATTTTGAAGATGCTGACAGAGAAAATCTTGGGCCCAATATCTGGAAGCAGCCAACGAACGAGTAACAGAAGCTGCAAGCCAACAGATTTTTGCGTACTCCTATTATGTCTTACGAGTTGAATACAGTGTATTTCATTTGACTCAGTGTAATCCAACATTTTGTTAATGATAATCGGTTGATGTAATTTGGAAGTGCAGGCTTGGGAGCCACTGTGAATCAGGATTTGGCCATCATGATCAGAAAAGGACGCCGACGATCTAGACAGATCAGTCTTCCACGTGCAGCCGATTCTCCAAGACCGAGAAAAAATCGGAAACACAAGAAATCTTCTTCGAATCGTGGTTCCAAGCATCCGGACGACGGGCAGCAAGTCCAAACCTCCGTCTGGGATCAGATACCAGATGGACCGCTGGAGATGATTCTCAACCGCCTGTCCGTGGTGGAGCTTCTGCAAGGCAGATCGGTGTGCAAGAGGTGGAAAAATGTGATCGACTCTCCGATATTCTCCAAGCTCCACGACTCGACGAGCGCATCATCTCCGGAGCCGTGTTTCATGCTCCACTGGGTCGTCGGAAGGCACCACTTGATGCATGCCTATTTCCCGTGCGCCGATACATGGAGAGCTCTGCCGGCCTCGACGATCCAGCCGCAAAGGAGCGGATACAACACACGGGCCAGGAAGAATCTCGTCGCGCCTCCCATCGTCACATTGCGAGTGGACATGTCCCGATTCGACCGAGGCTTTTATTGCATTCACTCCAAATACTTCGGCCCTTACAGGCAGATCGGCAGGAGACGCAAGTACAGATTGCTGTCGGACATCTACGGCTTCAAGCTCACGGTCCACAATCCGGTCTCGGGATGGTGCACATTGCTGCCCGCGCACCCGGATCCGCAGCTGAACTCACACCCGCAGTGCGGAGTGTCCGTCATCACCAACACTCGCGCCAGAACCTTTCAGGTTCTCTGCGCCGGCGTGTACCTGCACAACTACAACGAAGAGGTGCCCGGAGAGCCGGGCCACTGCCCGATCACTCTGCTCTTCGACTCCGTCTCGAACCAGTGGTCGCGAGTCGCGGATCTACCGCTGGACTATTTGGCGTTCCGGGGAGATGACACGAGGCAGGCGACGCGAGCCGACTGCGGGAAGATTTCCTACTTCGTGGTCCAGCGGTTCCACCAGCTGCTGCTGCTGGCGTTTGACCGCGAGTCCGGCTCATGGACCGTCGTTCCCGGTGCCATGCCGCAGCAGGACAGCTCGTACATGTTCGATGCCATCACGCTCGTGCCGTCGCCGAGGAGGAAATCTCTGATTCTGGCCTTCCGAAATGCGCCCGTTGACAGTCTCTTCAGCGGCCAGGGCCTGTTTCCGCTCATATTCTCGTGGAGTCTCGAAGAGTCCCCGCAGGTCCAAGACTGGACCAAGATGGACGTGCCGCCGCCGCCACTGGTGAACTTCCCTGCCGACTATCGGCATTTGCTGTTCTCTTTCAAGTGGTACGCCAAAGGAGATTTCATGTTCTTCACGTGTGCTGAGTTGTGGGGCATGGGGGCGTTGGTCTTCAACTTGGCGCTCGGACAGTGGAAGGCCATATCGATTGCTGTGAGGGGACTTGCTCATCCGTTCGATACCGTTCCACAGATCGTCCCATTCGAAGTGCAGCTCTCGTCTGTTCTCAATTTGAACGTGTACTAGTCGCATTCCAAATCTTCGATCGGACTTGCACCTGTCTGTCCATGGAGTACATGCAAAGCTTGCAACTCTAGACCTTGCGAAATATATATATATATATATAGAGCACCGTCTTTCAACTATGGGAGAGGGAGCGAGTACACAATTTCCATCAGGAGAAGACACGGTGATATTATGATGTTGGGGATCAGTACAAATTGAAGTGGGTTCCAAGATGGTGATATTCAGTCCGTGAAATTTATGCAGAAATAAGTCTGACGGTGATGAACCAAACCAAACGGATGAGGTAAGATGGTATGAGGATAATATGGGAGAGGGAGCGTGTACACAGGTTCCATCAGGAGAAGACACGGTGGTATTATGATGGTGGGGATCAGTACAAATTGAAATGGGTTCCAAGATGGTTATATACAGTCCATATAATTTATGCAGAAATAAGTCTGACGGTGATAAACCAAACCAAACGCATGGGGGAAGATGGTATGACGATAATATGGATAGGGACTTGAAGCCCGAGATCACTAATGATTCCAGCCAGTCTGACATATAGACACGTTACATGATGGATATTAAGACTCTTTACCAATTTTTCTAGATCAAAATAATTATGAGTAGAGACTTTAGTGAAGTTGCTACATAGCTAGTTGTATTTATATATTCTCATCGTCATGTCAGTGCAAGGGGTTATGAAGAATGCACTGCTATTGTAGATAGCATAGAATGAAATTAGAACGGCTTATGCAGAAATTACTGGAGTAACAGTGAAACTATTTAACTAAGCGTTCTCTATTTTGAAATGGTTCGTTAAAATAAATTTATTCCATTTCACAAACTGGCGTAAATATTTTTCCTTTTCTGGCAAGAATATCTACCCAGGTTGATCCTAATGTTACGGAAAATATTAAATTATTAATACATCCTATATTTTTTTGGGTTATTGATAAATATGATTGCGTTTGTAGAATTAGATTCAAAAATTTTATTTTTCAAAATGTTCAAAAATTTCATTTTGTACTCAAAACTTTTTCAACGTTTGAGAATAATAATCATAGAAGCTTATGATTTTAGCTTCTTCAAATATATATATATATATATTATTGATGTTTGATTTTTGATATGTATTAAAATGAATTCAATGTTAGGATTGAGATCATAAATTTCTGAATAATGAAAAGTCTTACGGAATGTGGAAATATCAAAAGATGCTTCTAAATGTCACATCTAAGTACAATTGGGAAGAGGAGGTTTTTCTTCTGCGCAGATCTTTGTCAGGTTTTTGCTTTTTGTTTCGCTTTGTTTCTCAGTACATTACTACGTTCACAAACAGAAAGACTTACTTCGTCCACTTTTGGTGGACTACTGGTGCTCATTGGTAACAATGAGCGACCAGTTGTCCTTATCTTCTCATTTGTTGTATCTAAACCATGATGATCGTTCGATTCATGGCAACAACGCCCGAATACTTCTCAATTGTGATTGACCATCTTCAGAAGCTCGCTGAAAAAAACTGGACCAGGAACCTGGTGCTCTGCAGTGGACTGATTGCCCTGCAGAGCACCAAGTCATTCAATGCAAACAATCGACGTGATTCAAACCTAAATGACTGTTTCTGGCATCTTTCTCCGGCTCTTTATAAAGAAAAGCTACTTGAGGAAGTTTCTATAAAGACTAATAGAAAGTGTACGTGGTCTTGCACCTTCCTTGCCGTCCAATCTGGTTATTTTCAGGTCTGGAAATCTAATTATATGCCCCGGAGTCCACTTCAGATTTTCATCTATTAGGTGTGATTCCAAAGTTGAAGGCAGATTTGCTATAGAAATTCAGTGCCCAATCTTAGTATGAAGGTGTTTAGAATTTGCTCGCAAGAAATACAGAGTAACGCATACTCAGTTCCTCAAAAGTACTTCTGTGCATATTGTCATATCATCAGTCAAGTATGCTCTCCAATATCAGCAATATGTACGTCTCGTATATATCAAAGCATATCCAAGTCATTCTTCTTAGTCTTCTGCACATAATCCAAGATAGTCTAGTCATCATTTTTGAAGACAATTGATTCTTTTACGAACAGAAGAATATAGTCGTAATCACTATTTTCTATCAACACATGCACGAAATCATTGTTGAACATCCTGAATACTAATCCAGTCAACACTCGCTTCTATTCTCTAATCATGCCCTTGATATTGATTTCAATTGATATAAGCAGATATTATATTGATATAGCTTCTACAACTGAAATCCACAATTCGGTATACAATTACTGCATAAGGATACAATATGATATTGTTCATATATCCAATTTGATTAAAAGTAATCACAAAATCGTAAAAGTCACAATATTAATCATATTAATCCGATGCATCTTCCAAGTTTGACGTGAAGCACTCACATAAATGACACAATTTCTCGACATATGGGCAATACAATTGAATGTTTAATCTTCATATATACCGTGAACTTAAGAACGGATATTGGTTATAAGGTTGAACAATAAATTTATGTTATAATTCCATTGATTTTTTTTACTCAATTGTCACCCATAGCAAGAAATATTCACTTTCACAGAAAGAGCATCCTCCATCAAGAGGTCCTGAAGGCAAAGAATGATCCAGGATGCAGGTTGGCTGTTGTTCACGTATCAACGTTCAGCAAGCACTGCTGGGTTTTCAAGTGCTGAAGATCACGACAGATTGTTGGCTCTGTATACAAAGCTAACAAAGCGAATGTGATGTGAGATTGTGAAACTTACTTTCCTTTCAGTATTTTCGTTTGGCTTAATTTAATTTCGTCCGTGTAGAGCAGGCGCACGCAAAACTGATTTGATGAAAATGGCAACCGAATACTCAAACGAAACGTTATAAGCTGTAGGTATTACTCAGCTGAGGCTAATTATTCTTATAAACATCTTCATCCATAAAAGTTTCTCTATCTCAAACATCAACTATGAACCATGAATGTATGTTTGAATTTTTTTTGTTATAAGTAAAATAAATTTTGAATCCTCCATTTTGACTTCGCTACATTGTGAAAATTGACAAATGATTTACATATATCATGACAAGTCCTATCCTATCCTTCACAAATTATTTCATCAAATATGTTTTGTTAAAAATAAAAAGTTTACCCATGCTTGGAATGAAACACAACCCTCATATTGTGCCAGGGATCTGGCTCTTTCAGTCAATTTCGGAACAATCGATTGGCGATGCTAGACAAAAAAAATTCCCGGTTACATTGCACAAGACAATCTAAACGTTACTCAGTAGCAGGTATTTATCGAACATCATTGTGGTTCAATCAGTTTATTTACTGACATTTTGACTCTGAAGTGGATCTTGATTTGTTCTGGAACTCCCGCGATCGACTTTCAATTCTTGTCATACGATAGATCGTCAAGCTTCGTCAAATGTAACTACAAACACAAGGCCTTGTAGATTAGAATCTCTGGTTCATGTGCACCCCTGTTTGACAAATGTCGAGACTTGCTTCAAAACCTGTACATCATTATAGGCTGCGGAAGACATCTGTCAATGTTTTCTGATTGCTCGATCATATGTTCCAGGCTTTCCCTTGAGCATTACTTTTTGTAGATAGGTTCCCTTTGGCCGACCATGAAAAGAACCAAATCGAGGGGATTCATCGAATTTAAATAATTTCCTTAGGTAGCTTAAAGCTAATTTTAAAATCTATGTATAATGTCTATGTAAAATTTTAGTTTTCTCGCGATTTCAAAATTCGAAGAGAATTTTCATAACAAGTTTTTGTGTCTAATATATGCTAGCTTTAAGATATCTAGTTTGAGAAATATTATTTCGCATGTTTGAAATAAAAATATAATTATTATCACAACTTCATCGGCAAGGCACAGTGATTTCTGTGCAAGAATAAATATAAACACCCAAAAAAATTCACTGACTGTTACAGTAATTGATGGGCAATGCACCAGAAGGAAAATATCAAATGATTTTAGACAAAATTTACGCCTATTCATTGTGATGGTGTACGTAGATTTATGATAAAATTATTGAAAATTCATGTAAAATCTCTTGAAAAAATTCAAATGAAGAACCTCACAAAATTGTGGAATATCTAGAAAATAAGAAGTAATTTATAATTGAGTGTTCCTAAATCAGCACTTCATATATTTCAAATGCACTATGTCAATTCTCTTAAAGATTGAAAGATTATATTTTTGTATAATTTGACAATTAATCATCAACTATTATGCAACTCAATCTAGATAAGAGCATATCTTAAAATAAAATTAGAATCGAATCATCTCAAAAATTTCAGATTATTCAAATGCAACGTACGTTTTTATGATTTCAATTTAATTTTTAAAGACCTGGTTAATTTCAAATAAGAAAGAAAACATTCGAAAATAGTGTACTTTTCTGTACTAATCTAATGCAAAGAATTATATCAGTCATTGGGTTATTGAAAAAAGACATACAGATATATCATTGCGTAACATATTACCAATCCAGTAGAGGGGACTAAAAGACTTGTAACGGAAAATTTGATCTAAGACCCAAATGAAAATATTGCATATGAGATGAAAAAAATATTCATACCAGACTTAGAAAAAAATTAAAATTCCATAATAAAGAACTTGAAATTTTTTTCAAGGGTTACTGACTACTGTGTACAACAAAATAAAATGAAAAATTTCCCAAAATATTACTTTTGGTTTATAATTATTATTAAAGAGTCAAAATACTAGTGCAGTAATAAAATTTTAGCATTGTAATACAGTAACATTCTTTATATTAATTCGATCTGAAAAGAATTGTTTACATGAACGAAACAATACTGATCACCTTACTTTGAAAGTTTTGATGGCACTCTTGCATCAAAGCTCTGCCTATGTGTTCGTTAGCATAACTATACCACAAGAATTGGAAAACATATTACATAACAACTCGAAATTCTGAGAGAGAAGAATTGGGTTTTTTTCCTCATAAGTAGTGATTCCCGACTTGCAGAGACGGAGTCTGATTCAACATCCAACCGCTCAGGGATCAATAGACCAACCATGAGTCAGAACACACTTGTCGCACGGGTCCAAACACACTGTCAGCATAGACTGGAAGGTAACAGTTCGAAGTCAAGTTGGCCACCACTTGATCAAGAGCGCCAAGGCTCTCGGCCATCGTTTCTTGTGGTCCCCATCCTCGAGCTCGTGTCGTGGTTTGACCGGATGTGATGATCTTGTCCGCTGTCAAATCCGATTCATCAGATTAGATTTATGTGTGGTTCTTAGATTTTGAATATCAAAAGCGTGATATCTACGAGGAGTGAAAAACTTGTTGGATAAGACTTCATGGGTTGTACCACTGCCAGAATGTAGTACGATGTGGATATTGTTCGACAAATTCAAAGGGCTACCACTCGGCTATTCACTGTACATACTACTCGGGCCCGAATAGTTGTCGAGAACATCATGTTTCAACATGCTAAACTTGTGCTTGAGATATGAGATCCTAGTACATCAAGAGCCGTGCTCTTCACACAGGTTAGTGCATTTATTCAAGCATCATGTGCCATCTGTGGTTTACCAGATTTCGTCCGACGCTTTTGTTGGTGGCTCATCAACCATATCCGAGTAGTATTGGAAACGTTGCGCGTAGATGGACTATAGGACAAATTGAAGAAGTAATTTTTCCATCAATCCTATATCAAATTCTTTTACTACAGAGTACATCATTTTTGGCAAAGAAAGTTCAAACATCTATCGATTGTAGGAAACCTGCTACCGTTT